GAGAACTGGGAAACCACAGGTGTATCTTTGCCCACTTGTCAAAAGTGCCGGAAACAACAGATACCCTCACTTACTTCTCAGGTCTGTGGAGGCTCCATATTAAGAAGTTTCCTCATTCCCTTCGGCCACTTTAGAACTAGAGTTCTTGCTACGTGCCACGTCTTCCCTCATCCAGAACGTTACCCATTCTGGTAGTCCTCAAAGCTTTTAAAGGTCCACAGCCTTTAAGAGGTTTGTCCAAGGGACCTCAGGTTCTGCTTCCCTCCCTACCGTGCTCAACCTGAGAAGGAGCAGCTCAGTACCTCCTGTTTTCTGCTCCCACCCACCTCCATGCGACACACCTCCTCAGTTCCACAGTGACACTACTCATTTCCAATAGATTCTTCACCTGGCACTGTACCCAGTACAAAGCCACCCGTAGGTCAGGGCCTAAAATAGCACTCCCCTTCCCCACGCCCCCCCCCACACACACACACACTTTTTCTTTTTTACTTTTTGATGATAATTGCAAGATTTTTTTAAGCATTCTCTCTTGGCATCCCTTCTTTGTTCTTTTTTGAACTAGCAACACTTGAATATATTAGCATTGAAAAGAGTCAAATGCAGAAAAACTGTACAAGGTCCCTCCCTGTTCACATTAGGGTACGTATGCTTCCTATCCTATCTTAAGTGCAGTTCCTCAGCCCCTCCTGGTTTCTAGTAATAGCTTTGATGTCCTCCCCAGCTTGTAAGGAGAGTCAAAGTCTAAGATTCACATAGTCTGTGGTCCTGACAGACCCAGCGGAAGGCAGCCGGGCCCCCAACTAAAGAGCCTCTAGTTAATCTAACTTAAAAATTAAAATGAGGAAAGCCAAGTGTACACAATCCAAAGCTCCATTTGCCTGAGAACAAACCACCGCAGGGTCTGCTGAGTTTCTTCAACCTGAAAACGAAGCAAAACTTTGAATTCTATGAGGCCAACATTCTCCCTCAGCTCTAGAGGCCTCGTGACTGTACTTCCTGAGTACATGCTGACAAGCCACAGACTCAGGACTCCCAGTGTGAAATTCGCAGTGAGGGTCATGGACCATTTCCTTCTTCTGGGTTATGGAGAAAGTGGTTAGATTTGACACTACTCCATGGCTTCGCAAAAATTAGCTTTCCCTCACTCTTCAGAGCAACTTTTCCAGATTTCACCTCAAAACAAGGGAAGCCCCCAACCCCCCTCAGATCTGTTAACATGCCCAGACCCGGGGCCCTCCCTCGTGAAAACTCCCCGTCTTTCAGCAAGACTCCTCTCCTTCCTTCCCCACATCCCCGAGGTGGACCTGTGAACAATCCCACCCCCACTATAAGTCACTAACAGCAGAACTCATTGAGTCCTTGGGGTAAAATCAGTGCGGACCCACTTTCTGGTATCCTGGCTTTGATCTCATCAACAGCACCTCTGGAAAGCGGAATTCAAAACCTCATAACACAAAGCCCAGCAAAACCTTGAGCTATTGGCTTCCACCATGTGTCTCTACCTGCTGATGGGTGGTCAGGGAGGGCAGGCGGTCGGGATGGTGAGAAAGCAGGGGAAGCTTCAGGATACAAAGAAACAACACCCCCAACAGTATGTTCAGCCACAAAAATTAAAAAAAAAAAATCTAAGTGACAACAAGCCCAGAAAACACAGTTCTCATTCAGCATTCCTACCAGAGACGAATGGAGCGCCAATGGAAAGAGAGGATCTACTGATGGAGCTTTTCTGTTGCTGCACCCAATGCTATGCCGATCTCTACCTCCTCACAACAGTCGCATGTGTGAACCCCACAAAGGCTAATGAGCAAACCAGTCCAAGCCAGGGGGCAGAGCTGGGATCTGAAGCCAGGGCCGTCTGATTCTACATCCTATGCTCTCTCTACCAAACCCTGGTGGACTTGGACAGGCCACCAAATGAGCCCTCTGCCCATCATAGTTGCTGCCTTGGGTCTAAAACTGGTGCTACAGTCTGCTGCCCCCACTGTTGGGTCACACTCACTGGTACGCCTCCATCACGACAGCCCCAGCTCTGTTGTTAAATATCACAATTGCTAAGTAGGTAGGAAGAATAACTTTGGCCTGGCTCAGTATCCCACCAGAAAGAGGGAAGACGAAGACTGCCTACCCGCGGCGTGCTACAAGAATGTAGCTGTGTTTGGAATCTACTGATTAGTCTTACGGGATGGAAAGAAACCTTCCCCTCTTCTAAGAACTCCTGTGGCCAAGAGAATGAGTTGTATGGGTCAGTCATGCTCCAGGGAAGTGAGAAAAGCAGCAGGAAGATTCTGACACCCAGTGGGTGGAGAGGAGAAGTCACCCAGGGCCAGCAAGAAGGGGACAGCATGAAGAGGGAGCCCCTAGCTTGGCCAGCTGGAACTTGGGAGCCAAAAACAGCTGTTCCCTCCTCCAAGGCAGATGTGAAGTTCAGGCCGCCAGCAAGCCATGGCACAGTCAAGATTTAAGTCGGCCTATTTTTCATAACCTTCAGTTCCTGTATTTGGAAACAAACTGTCCCCTATAGGGCTGAACATATATTAAAGGACAAAGCTTGTACTCAGGCCTGAGCAGGTGCGAATGCTGACATAACTATTTAAGTGACATTCTTTTAAATACAGGATCCTCAGTTTCCCAATTAGGCCAGTGGCCTAACGTGCCATCTTTCTTCCCTTCCTAGCCAGGAAAAGTGAATTTTCTATATTTATATTTGGAAGCAAAATTGTGAGCATGGACATTTGAAATACAGAAACACAATATTCTATGTCATTCCTTTACATGGGACTGAGACTTGGGCTCAGCAGATAGCACCATGTTCCAGAATATCACAGGGACCACCAAACTAGCCAACGGGACAGGCCGCTGGGAGGTAGAGGGCAGCCACGCACGCAGCTGCATTTCTGTCCTGTCCTCCCTTGTGACAGGATGGAAGAGGGCTGACAGCCTGGGGATGAAAGGGAAGGTGCCTAGCTCTCTGGCCAAGTCCCTGCATACACTGGGCCAATGACACAAGTCCCGGTCTTTATCAGCTGACTTTCTGTAAGAGGTGTGCAGCTCTCACTCTCTTGTGTAGATCACAATGGGTGACACCGGAAGCGATACAACAAACATGTATCGTATGCCTGCTGTGTCAAGCCCACTGGATAAGGACCTTCGGCACCATCAGAACTGGACAATTTATTGAGCTGCTTTGTGCCTTGTTTCTTCACCCATGAAATCGGGAAAGAACACGACATTCCCGCTAGGCCTCAGATGGCTGCTGTGGTGATCACGTGAGGCAATTAATATAAAAAAGTACTCTGCAGAGTCAAGGTGTGTCAATTCTGAGGTTTGAGTTTCAAATTCCCAGAGCCAGTTCCCTTCTAGGTCTATCTCAGCATGGCAGTGGCAGTGAGAACCGAGGAAGAAAACCAAACAAATGCTTCTGATGTCAAACTATTTCCCTGCAACTTGGGGTCCCTGCTATTTGTCTTTTTAATAACATTCCCTATCTCACTCCTTTTTCAAAAACAAACACACCTTCTAATTACAAATCAAAAGGAGCAGAGTAACATAATGGTAGTGAAACCGGAGGCCAACGAGTCCAGGGCCGTGCTGCCCGCACCGCTCAGCCAATAGACTGACACAGGAGTTGGGTCATAGAATAAGCGTTTATTATCAGAGCACCAGTGGTCTGAGAGGGCAGCAGGTTAACACCTCCAAAAACTGCCTTCACAGTCTCAGACCGGCTTGGAGTTTTTAAGGGAAAACCTGGGCATTCCTTCAGAGGCTACGTGAGGGTTCCTGGGGTCTGCCTCCCCTCTGGCCACGTGATTCTGTGGTGGAGTCAGCAACCCAGAAACAATGATGGGATTAGCCTGGTAGACCATTGAGATTGTGATCAATAAGCCTATGGGTATTAATCATAAGGTTCAGGGTAATTTTCTAAAATAGGGAACTGGGTGGGACAGGGGACATTCCAACCTTAAGTCACAGGAGGAGGATGTATTGTTAAACTCTAGGTCAAGGGAAGGTGAGGCCGGGGACAAGGAGAGGCCTCTACTATGGGGGTGCAAACCGGGCCCAATTTCAGTAGCTGCAAGGTTCTAACGTCAGACTGCAGGCTGTAATCTGGGCTCTGTCACTTGCTAGCTGTGTAATCTTGGGCCTTGATTGGCTCATCTCCCAAATGGGAATAATGATGGTATCTGAACCACATGTTGTTGTGTAAAATAAATGAGATAATATAAAGTGTTGAGCCCACTGTAAGCACTTGTATGTTGGCTATTATCGCTCTTATTTTTTCATCTTGGTTGTCTAGGGGAAGAGCCAGGCAACAAGTGGGAGTGATCAAACAATCTTAGCATTTTTACAATTATGATCCTCCATCCAGACCTGGAGCACTGGAGCTGGAAGGCATCATAAATGAGCCAGATCAGTGCTTTTCAAACTTTGTGGTAAAGGACCCCTTTTTGTTGGCTTCTTTCCCCCCAATCCAACCAAGGTGTAGCCCTACTGTGCGCAACCAGCATGCAGCTTGCTCCACACACAACTCTCCACCCTAGTTTGACAACACTCATCTTGAGCCTTCAATAAATGTCAAATTGCTATAAAAATGTGTCCTCTCAGTGTCTATACTTTACGCGTCATGGATCGGTAACAGTTCGTGGACCAGTCCACAAATCACACTTTTGAGAACACTGATCTACACTGGTCTTCCCCTTTCTCCTCAATCCCATTTTGCAGAGAGGGGAACTGTCCATGAATGGCAGAGTTAGAAGTCTTAAAAAAAAAAAAAAAATCCCAGGAAACAGCAGAAAACTCAATCTCAAGTGCACATTAAGAAATCCCAGAAATAAGACATAAAAAAGGGCAAAAAGAGGAAAGTAGCAGCATCAACACAGCCCCGCTGGCACTGACCACCTTGGTCTACATGTCTAGGGACAAGAGTCACGTGGTACCAGTGGGATGGTTGCAGCTTGCAGCCCCGAGCAGCCCACGCCTCCCCCAGGGGCTTCCCTGACCTTGGGGCGGTCTTCCTTTCTCAGAGCCACAGCTTCCAGTTTGGCTTCGTACTCTGCTTGCACTTGGTCCCTCTTCTTCAATACGCTCTGTGGGAGGCAGAAAGCAGGAGCATGTAACACAGCATGCACAAAGGGGCCTCCAAGCCCCAGGCAGTGTTTCTTTATCCCATTCCTCCCGCAAATCATGGCACCCAGGCCCAGCCTGGTGCTCCTAGGACAGTCCGGCTATGCTGTGACATGCGACATGGACTCTAGAGAAAGCAGAGTTGTGTGTTGGGGGGAGGAGGGAGTGGAAGAGTCAACTTGTTTATTAATTCATACAAATATTTTCCAACTTGGAAAGAGAGAGGGTAAAGCCAGTAGAAAAGGCCTTCTAAGAAATAAGCTTGGGTAGGAGAGAGATTTAAGATACCGCCAAACCAATTCCAGGAGGAAACGTAATAACAATGTATACAATACAAACATTTTTATCACATTTGAACAAAATATGATTCTATCCATAATTTTCAAACTCACTTTCCACTTTAAGGGGAGTTAAGGGGAGAAGAAGAACCATTCTCAGAGACAGAGCTTTCTAGTACGGTATCTCAGCCTGACTCTAAAAGGGACAGAATTCCTGGAAAGGGCAAGTGGGGCAAACGATGCCCATTCATAGCCATGGCGAGGCGAGGATTCTTGGCTTCCCCGTGTGCAGAGGGAACGTAGCTGTACCAAAATGTAAAGCTTGGCAGGTAACCAGGCTGGATATTGTTGATGGAAAAGTCTAAGTCTGGAACGTTCTTGGCTCTTTAATTCATCCTTGGCAGACTGATTTGCTCACTGATCCATTAGCCCCTTATTTGTCCTCCACTCTAGACCAGGAAGACAAAGAGCAAAGAGATACAGCCTCTACCTGAGTGGTTTTGTTGAGGGAAAATCTGCAGACACACAGGGCGGCTGCAGGTGCTAAGCGAGCTGTGTACAAGCCCAGCATCCCTGCAAACATGTGGTGAGCCTGCCCGAGTGAGCGGTAAATGGGCCCACAGAGAGCCAGCCTGGACAGGCCTCAGGTAACAAACTAGGTGCCCAGGACACAAAGTTTAAGGAGACACTCACTCCTGGGCCTGTGCAAGTACCTGGTTGGCCCCTGAGCATGAGTGTCACCCTAAATCACCTAGTCCCAACTCTGCTGCTACGACGCCACCAGGTGGAACAGAAAAGCTTGCAGCCGACATTCTAGAAAAGCATGTTTCATCCAAGTGTTTCTTTTTGTCTCCTTTTAGTAGAATCGCAAATGACAAACCAAGAGTGGTAAGAATTTTCTTGGCTGCTAACTCAGAAGTTGCACATGGCTACAAAAGTTTCTAATCTTGTACTCTTCCCATAGAGACCTTCCAGCAGAGCGTGAAGTCAGGTGGAAAGGAGCCATTTCCTGGCTGAGCGGTGGGCATCTTGTGTCCCCGACAACGTGCTGAAAGGTGATGTGTGAATGAACAGTTGAGAGCACTCTGGGGACAACCGTCTAATGGAATGTGTCAACACAGGGCACCTCAAGTCTTCCCCTGAAGAATTTCCTTTGAGGAATATCTTACCACGAGAAGAACACGAGGTAAAACTTGCAACAGCTTGTTTTCATCATTTGCCGCTCGTCTTTCTCCTAAGTGCTCACAGCTTTCCTCCCACACTCATTGACCTTTGAGTAGGAAGGTTTACAGAGCTGTTCAACAGAACCTTCTGCTGTGATGGAAATGTTCTATCATCTACTCCATCTAATACGGTAGCCACTAGCCCTACATGCCAATTGAGCTCTTGAAATGTGGCTACTGCGACTGAGGAACTGGGTTTCAATTTTAATTTGATTATAGCTAATTTGATTTTAAATAGCCACCTTGGCTAGTGATGGCTGTACTGGACAGCACAAATCTAGAGTAAGACAAACCCACGAAAAAAATCAAGGGTCCTTTCTGGACTTTGCAGAATCCAGAAAATATTCTAAATCTACTAGTCTGATACCACCAGTGGTAAAAAATCATAATCTCCACTCTAGAGGGCTAAACACATGATGCTATCCTTGGAGATGCAAATGTGGTTCCCGAGGGGCAATGAGACAGCGGGGAGGGGGACCACTGCCACATCCTTCCTCCACAGGATGCCTCACATCTTACAGGAAAACAACACATATCCAGCCGAGGAACATAGCCAGCCGAGGAACATAGCCAGCCGAGGAACGGGAACACAGGAGTTGTCCCAGTCCCAAATTCTGTCAGTGTGGTAAGAACTGCTGAGGCTGCCAAAACCCCTGGGTGGGAAGGGCTGGTGAGAGGTGTGTGAGCTCCCTACAGCTAAAGCAGCCCCAGTGCACCTCCTCCCCTACACCCCAAGATTCAGCCATAGTCCCTACACAGTTAGCTTGGGCCTTCCCTGGCCCCAAGGAGAGGTAGGCCCTCTGTCTCCTCAGCCACTGTTACCCTCAGCGTCACCTGGAGTGGTCAGAATGCTGCCTCGTCAGGTGGGCTGACTGGAGGATTTGTGCTGACATCCCCGCCATCAATGGACAGCAGAAAAAATTCACAACAACAACAAAAGCTTGAAACAACTCTGAAGAAGTAAAAGGGTATTATCCCCGTTTTATATATAAGAACAGTAAGGTTCAGTGGGGGGACATGGTTGAGGCCCCCCATCACAGTGGTGACTCACTCGGGCTTTTCCTGCTGCCTTTCAGCAAAGCTGTGGTTTCCCAATCTGGCTGCAATTCAACCACAGTAAAGGTTGGAAAACATGTTTTGAATCAAGATGATCTCTTCAAGACTACCATCCTTGTTGAGAGTACCTTTGCACACTGTTGGCGATGGTCTAAAAGGACTGGCCACCCACTCCAAACACCACAGGCTGTTGATAAAACTGGTCAGCCAGCTGATGGATAATGGAGCCTGAACTTGCAATGCAGTGAAAGGGCCAATAGACCACGTCAGCATTGACAGAGAGGCACCCCCATCACTGAGTGACAAGCAAAAGGTATTCATCATCTGAGCTTCTCACAGAACTTTAGAGGGGTCTCTGATTCCAGTGGATACAAGGAATCAAAATGGTGACATGTGTGGAGACACTCCTCATTACGCTTTGCACCTGCTTTACATAACCATCATCTTCACCCTGTCTGACCTGCTGTAATGTTTCTGCATGCATCTACCCAGGAGCTGGGGATACAGCAGACAACAAAACCCACAAAACCCTTGCGTTCATGGAGCTTCCATTCTGGAGGGAGGCAGACAACACACAAGTGAAATATACAGCTCTAGGTGCTGGGAAGGAAAAGGCAGGAAAAGAGGATATAAAGTGCCGAAGGTTTGGAAGATGGTGGAATTGTACATCGAGTCGCCAGGGAGGGCCTCAATGACAAGGCGACTTTTAATTCAAGACATGGAATAAACCTCTCTCAAACACTGTATTTTTTTTTTTTTTAAGATTTTTATTGGGGAACTGGGGGGATGGGAACAGCACTGGGGAATTGGGGGAAGGGGAACAGACAGGTTGCTGTCGTTTTTGTTCTTCAGTCTAGTTGTGGAGGACGTTGCTTCACTGGCCCAAGTTGGCACCATCATTGCGCTCTTCCCAGGTGAGGCAGA